AAAGCTCTTCGAAGGAAAGGTATTTGGATCTTTCTGGTCCCTCTCATGCAGCTCAGGTCTCCACTCAAGATCTGAACAACCTGCATATCACATGTTTGGAGTCCATGCTCTCTTTATGTCAAACATCACAATTAAACCATATCCATTTCCAACCTATTTAATCAACAGCCATTAGTTTTACTAACACTTCCAACATGAGCTATACTCATAGTATATGACATGACATGTACTCCTCTCCTTGAGGTCGGAGGTTCAAATTCCCGTGCACCATCACGTTTGTGTTGATTATTGTTGGGAGGGAGTTCTACATTTATTAATTTAGAAAATGATCATGGATTTATAAGTAAGGAATACATCTCCACTGGCATGAGGCCTTTTGGAGAAGCACAAAAACAAAGCTACGAGAGCTTATGCTCAAAGTGGATAATATCATACCATTGTGGAGAGTCGTGATTCCTAACCATTTGTTGTATAAAAAAAGAGCAAAGTAACAGCAACATGACATAACATTTGACGGGCTGGACAAAGGCAGTTGTTAAATAGGATGGTTGTGAATTGGAGGAATAATAAAGACAAGAACATGCCTGATTCATACAAGGTCTCCGAATTGAGGACTGCTGTATGCATAAAGAAGCAGCAAGAAGCACAAGATTCATCTGCCGTGAATTATAGTTTGTTATGAAAGGATCAACAAGTTCTCTCACGTTGTTCTTCTTCAGCAACGGCTTTGCCTGATCAAGGTAGACAAATCTTAATTAAACAGTAGCCCTCCGTGTTAGAATCGCACAACGCACAGACTCGATCTAGATGAACACAAAGAATAGAAGAGAGAATATTGACTAAAGATTTATATTGATGACTTCCAAGATGTAAGTAAAAGAGAATGCAAAAATGGTAAAAAGTACATTTTCAAAGCACTGGTTAAGGAGTTATATATATGGTTTCAGTTTACTATATATATATATCTTTAACAAGCTATAAATAGGCCGCAGACTCCATATCCCAACAATTCGTTGAGACGATTGAATCAAACTTTGGAACCCTCCCGCATAAGCGAGTACTATGGGGGCAAGGATAAAAACTCACCCACAAAACGAGGCTTTGCTGAGAGTAATCGAGAGCTCGGCGTCCAGTAACTAGCTCCAATAGGAGCACGCCAAATGCAAAAACATCAGTTTTCTCATCTACTATACCATGTGATAAATACTCCGGAGGTAAGTAGCTACAAAAGTACGACGGGGAGGAATCAGAGTTGATATGCGTACTCTTTTATATATGAACAACTAGTAAACAAGCGAATGACAATTCACCAACCCAAATGTGCCTTCAAATTTTGATACTATATGATGAGTCCATTGCTTCGGTAGCCACTTTGCGAGCCCGAAATCACAAATCTGTTGAACAAATTTCTATGGATTGTGTTTTTATCTCATAATTATAAAGTGAATACTCAACAGAACCAACAAAAATGAACACTAAACATTGAACTTCTTCTGCATACCATGTGAGGAGCACTGAATGAACGACTAATATCTTCACGAAGGTCAAAAGAGAATTACCTGAGGCTCAAATTCTTCAGTGAGCAAAATGTTAGCGGCCTTAATATCTCTGTGGATAATTCTTCTTTGACATCCTTCATGGAGATATCTTAACCCCTTAGCGGTTCCATTGGCTATTTTGTACCGAATGTTCCATTCCAGCTTCTCCTTCAAACCTACCGAATGCATAGGTTTAAACTTATGAAAAGTAATTATGCCATTTAGCAATGGAGGATTGTTGGGAGGGAAGTCCCAACCTAGGGAATAATCGTGGGTTTATAAGTAAGGAATACATCTCCATTGGTATGAGACCTTTTGAGGAAGCCCAAAGCAAATCAATGAGAGCTTATGCTCAAAGTGGACCATACATACCATTGTGAAGAGTCCTGATTCCTAACATGGTATCAAAGTGATACCTTTAACTCAGCCATATCAATAGAGCCCTCAAATGTCGAACTAAGAAGTTGCTAGCCTCAAAGATGTTGACAAAAGTGACTCAAGTATCGAACAAAGGGTGTACTTTGTTTGAGGGCTCTAGAGAAAGGAGTCAAGTCTCAATTAAGGGAAGGATGTTCAAGGGCTACATAGGCCTCCAAGGAGACTCTATATTGTACTTTGTTCGAGGGGAGGATTGTTGAGAGGGAGTCCCTAATCATGAGTTTATAAGTAAGGAATACATCTCCATTGATATGAGGTCTTTTGGAGGAGCCTAAAGCAAAGTCATAAGAGTTTATGCTTAAAGTGAACCATGTAATCCTGATTCCTAACAATATATAACAATATATAAGGACTAACCATGAAGCCAAGAAGCTAAACTCCCCTGAGGAAAGAATTGGAGAACTAAATGCATTCCACCCTCGATTCCATAGCCAATTAACTTAGCAGTATTGGGATGGTTGACATGGGCCATGATTCCAAGTTCAAGCAAGAAATCAGCAGTATTCTCATCAAATTTTCCTCTCGTTAGTCTTTTTACGGCCACAACTTGTCCGTTCTTCAAACATCCCCTGTAAACCTCAGCATAACCACCCTTTCCAATCAGACTTTCTACACCAAAAAGAAAAAAAAGAGGACGCTTACCAAATGCAAATAGACATAAAATATGAAAAAGAGGATGTATTGGTTGCACGAACCAGGGCTAAAATAGTTCGTCGCAACCTCAAGCTCTCGCAGAGTGAAATTCTTCCATGGCGAGTTAAAATTGGCGACGTTGGAATCAAACCGAAAGTGAAGATGCAAACTCTCTCTCATACTGTTGCTCAGTTTTTTAGAGAGCTTAAGCACATTAAGAGGATGCAATTTACTTACAGGCTTGGTGGATTTTGACCTCAATAATTTGAACATTCCACGCCAAAAGGAAGGCGGTTTGGGGTCCCCGGAAGACGTTGATTCGGATCCTGAGCTCCTGAAGTAGTCTTCAAGAATTCCAGTGGGTGAAGACGAATCTACATTCTCCTTCATGATTGGAACAAAAGCAAAATAGCGCTCCCTTCTGCAACAACAAGAGCAGAAGAGAAGAATCCAACGGCATTCAGAAGAAGAACAAGAAGAAAGGAAAGAGATGAGAGATGGAAACGCTCCGCATAGAAATGAGCGAAATCCAACGGCGTGAATCCAGGGAAGGTTCTGTTACGCGGGAAGCTACCCAAGAACAAACCAAAATTGGACGTATGGTATGGTGTGTAAAATCAATCCACACCAATCAAAAGCGTGAGTTCTAAGATTCTGGAAGGAGTAATCGTCACAAATAATCATGAAAAGATATCTCAACACTTTGTCCTCCATCGCCCTAAAACACTCTCGTTTTCGCCACATTACATCATCTTTCTAAAATAAAAATATTCTTCTGTTTCTCCTGCTCCTCAACTCAATTCAATTTTAAATTTATGGACCAAAATTGGATTTTTAACTTTAAAATAATATTAGTTAACGAATATATTTCAATTATTGATATTGTTTATTATGAGTACACGTTCTCATGTATTTGTTTCCAAAATATCTAATCTCTCATATATTTGAACTTTTCGTTAAATATGAATTTTTTCTCAACGATCCTCAATACTATAAACATCAAATTATATTTTTGTAAATCAATGATTTTTATCGATATGTATTAGTCGACTTATCACTTTATATATATATATAAAATAAAGATTAAATTATAAGTTTAGCCATGAATTTTAAAGCTTAAAGTAGGTAAATTTTAAAATTTTAAATATTGTGTCTAATTAATTACTAAACTTTAGAAATTATCTAGCGTCTGTGTACTACCTTTGTATTTAATCAACCTCTGAATTTTTTTTTTTAGTAAATTTATATTTAATAAATTAATTATTTTAAAATTTTATACTAAGATTATTATTACTATATATATATATATATATATTTTTAGAATTATTTGGGGAATGATTTGAAATGAATGAGAGTGGATTAAGCTGTACTCGAGCATCATGAGCATCAAGTTGTACTCAATTGCGAGGTAATTGCTGTTGCCTTACGAATGCAATAATCATTTATACATTCTTTGCTTCCCACTCATAATAAATAATTACATCACATATCAATCATTCCCATCAAAGCAAAATCATATAAAATATCGAACATTAATTCTTAGTGTCAAGAAGAACTCGATTTCTATTGGTTAAATGGATAGCGCAAATTATGCAACATAGTTTTAGAATGTTAAGAACAAGAGAATCTTGAAACATTGTGACATAACGTATAAAAGGAAAAAGAGAAGAAATTTTGGACACTCAATCAACTTCCAATTTCTACTCGTTGGTCCTATAACCTATGCTATTCTTCAGGTACTTTAGACAGACCATTCCCATGAAATTTCCTTTTCAAATTACAAACATGGTGTTTTTGATGGGTCATAGCAGCATATTCTTTTGTTTGGAGTTTAGACTCCTCTGGAGCTTTTTCAGCAAAATCTCCATTAAGGCCCATCTCTTCCGGACACGTTTGAGAAGGCAACAGCCCCAAGAAAGTAAAGCTTTCTGTGTGGTCCATGCCCAATGGCAGCTTAAACACCATTGACGGAGTTGAAAAGTGACTTGACTTACCTTTTATCCCTCTAATTTCGATGAATCATTTCTTTGGACAGCCCAAACCTACTGCTATTAGATATTTTCTTCTTTGAGCTTTTTCTTTCAAACTTTTTCTCAAGGTTTTTAAAACACATCTGCTAGTGAGAGGTTTCCACACCCTTGTAAAAAAATGTTTTGTTTTCCTCCCCAACCGATGTGGGATCAAACATATGTCTTATGTGGAAAAAGAACGTAGAAACTATTAATCATCCATTTCTACATTGCCCATTTGCTTATGCCAAAATATAGAAGACGACCTTATAGAATTATACTTCGGCTGGTTATTCAAAAGATACAAAGTCAAATGTACTAATAATGATGCATGGATCAATAAAAGAGCATAGCAGAGATATGAAATCAAGACTATTCTTCTGTAATTCTGTAGATTGTTGATGACAACGATATACTTTGAGCTTTCATTAGAACTTTAACTAGAAATCCAGGCAGTTCCAGTAGTAACTGTAACTTGTGTGTTGGTAAATACATCAGCTTCCTTCAAATCTCATTGTAGTTTTGAAGTTTTTGTGTCTAATACTTTGGTTTGAAATTAAGGTGTACATGGGTTCTTTGGTTACATACGGCATAGAACAAAAGGAATGAGTTCCATTCCTAAATGTAATACAAATGAGTGTGTAAATATAAGTGAAAAGGTTTAAGAAATGAAAGAAGACAAAGGGCTTGGGCGTGTTGGTCGTTATTTCGTGTCCATCTCTTCCAAGGGGAAAGGGAATGCGAACGGGTTTGGGGCTGAGGCCGAGGCCGAGGAGGAGGTTTGAAGAAATCAACCTTGAGAATGAGGAGGTTTGAGGAAATCAACCTTGACAATGTGATGATCGGAGGTTCCTTTTGAGGAAAGGACAGAGTAGGATCCTTCAACAAACTTGTAATCTGCGTCCGGAGAGGCCAATATGTAGTCGACTCGTGTCCCATACTTGCACGTCCCTTGAACACCTGCCATTGCCAACCAATGCCATACATTCCATTAGTAAAAACCTTTCATTCTCATTGTCCTATCTTTTTTTCATATTCATCACTCAGTTTCATACTTTGGCCTTTGGCGATCATCACCACTGATTCGCATTCTCCTCCAAACTCCTTTGCATCCCTATAATGCATACTGCTCTTTAAGAACTTAATCACTTTAGCTTCCGGAGTTGGCTTTCCTATCTCTTCGTAATACTGAAGAATGAATCAATCAACCAACCAACCAATCAACCAACCAACCAACCAACCAACATGGGATGCATGCCATAAACAAAACTCAACTAAGCTAAACAAAGTTCAAAATAACAATTGATACCTTCACGATGTCCGTCCACCGTTGCTGCGAGTAATCCGTGGGATCCAGAGAATTAAGGCCTCCTAATAAGATATGGGGTTCGTCGTTGGTCGATCGGATTATGGATTTTATCTGTTTCATCCTCCAATTCTCGTCCAGATGATCCAAATGGGTACACTGCACATTTACTTCTCCTACTTCTCCCACATCAATGGTCGCTTTTAACACATTCCTGCCACCGCCCAACCCAATAACCAATTCCATCATTCTCACAGAGTTTATCAACTATTTACTACTTTTTCATAAATTTTTGGTTATGAATTACGATTCTCTAGGTATTATATATTTTGAATATAAACTCTTTTGACTTTGCTTTGGGCTTTACCAAAAGCCTGCCTCGTAGAGATGTATTACTTACTCATTAACCCATAATCATTCCCTAAATTAGTCAATATAAGACTCTCTCCCAATAATCTTCGAACCGTTTCAATTTTCAAGGAGGGCTCTGCCTTCTCTCAGTTCTCACAGATCTAAAATTGACCAAAAGTTAAGTTTTTAGCTTAGTTTTTGCCTCTAAGGAAATGAATTCATTTCAGAAAAACAAAAACAAAAGCAATCAATCGTCTAGACTCCATCTAGTCTACTATTGTCATCAATCAAAAGCATGTTTATGAAATGAGGAGCAGAGCAAGAACACACAAATTAATGTAAAAGGTTTGGTTCAAATAATAGTATAATACTATTGAGTGTGGTGTACAGCTGCTAACCTGAAATCGGTGTGGTCGAAAATCTTCTCGACTTTCCAGCGTTTGATGGGCCATCTCGACAGGACCGCATTTCCATACTCCGGCGCCCAGCTCTCTGCAAAAACGTACTTCATTCCCAAAGCATCTGCCAAATCGGAAAGCGGTCTCATGCCTTTCTCTTCCACCGCCTTCACATCTTGCAACGCCAATATGTCAGCATCCAACTCCCTAAGCACCTCCACAACCGTCCTATTGCATCTGTAACTCTCCCCTTTTTCGCGCTCCGAAGGCATGCTTACAATCGATCTCAGTGGAGGCCGACTCTTAGCGATCCGCATCCCATTCCCATCGTTACCTGAAGAGGACGGATCCTCCTTCTCCATTTCGTACTCAGAAAAGCTCGCCTGTCGATTTCTGAGTAAGGATATCTCGTTATCAGGCAGGTTGATCGAAACCCGCGGCTTGGGTTTCACGAACTTTGGTTGGGTGTGGAGGTTATGATTAGCAACAACTCCATTCACGGTATTCGGATGCAGTGGAGACTGTTTCAAAATGCTTTTGGGGCGATCATTTACGGATTTTGTCCGTAAACTGGAATCCAAACTCCGTCGGAATTTGGCGGAGGAATTGGATTTTTCAGCATATGGAACAGCAGGTGCCATGGAGAAGGAGGCGGCATTAAATGTCGCAATCCGCACAGGTCTGTGCGCATTAAGACCGCAAAATTGAGGTTTGGGATGAACAGGCGACGCCAAGGAGCCATTAACGAAGGAGTCGAGGGTATTGTGGGGATCGGCGTGAGGTTTGGAGGTGGTTTTTCCAAATTTCTTGATGACGACGACCCTAGGTCTGACCCGCCGGGCACGAGGCCATCGTAGACGGGTGCAGAGGCGGCGGAGGCTCCGGTTGAGGAACTTGAGCATTTTAGAAGAGTAGGAAAGTGTGAGAGTTGCAGAGTGACATTCAACTGGGCAAAACCTGTATGGCATTGGTGTGAGTGCAGAAATTAATAACAAACCCCAATTTCAGTCCAACTCGGTGACTCCTACAAATGGTTGACTTCCACTTTTGGGGCCACTCGTTTTCATCTTTTCTTCTTCTTATTTTATAATATTATATATAAATAAGACAACGCCAACTGCTCCAATTTCCAATTACTCCAATCGCATGCAAAACCAATCTATCATATAAATATAAAGTCTGATGCCCTGTGTATACCACCAAAAGATATGATATAATATATATGACAGATATTTTGGAAAGATCTACAAAGCAATCCTGACTTCATGAAGTCTGATGCCTATGTATACTAAAAGATGTATGGCATAATAGGATAGATATTTTGTAAATATTTTGTTTTTTTTTTTTTTTTTTTGTTAAATATGTTAAAGCTATATCAGTAAACCAAAACCATATATATATATATATATACCCATCAGGCATGAGCGTGCTCTCAAAATGTAGTATTTTCTTCATTCCATGTATTCTCTCTTAATGTACATACGCCATCAATAAAACCTTCTCCTTAAATTTTCTCTCTACTGTTCTTTGTGTTCATCTTGATCGAGTGTGCGCTCCTATTCTTTGTGTTTATCTTCTTGATAGAGTGTGTGATCTTGTTCTTTGTGTTCATCTTCTTGATAAAGTGTGTGCGTTATTGTGCGATCCTAACACGGAATACATATTTGGTTTTGTTTTTTTTTTTTTTTTTTTTTATTTTAAGACTTATGATCGTTTCAGTACTACTGGGATTTGGAACCGGACGTAAGAAACTTAGAATAAAATTATTCAGAAAGAAAATTAAAATCTCATAATTGAGGTCGTAAATAATGATGGAGAAACAAGACAGCTTAGAACAATGCAATTCCCGCATTGAAAGAAGACAAGGTCATGTATGCTTTTCTGGAACGCCACGTCACTAAAAATCCGGCATATCCAAATCCGATGCATTATATATATATAGAGAGAGAGAGAGAGATGTGGTGGAGGAAGGTGGAGCCCACAGGAAAATGAATTATGAAATTGAATGGCTATTAGAGGAAGGAAGGAAGACATAAAAAAGCCATAAACTTTGAAAAGGGAAGAGATAGAATTAAGTATTTAAGGTTAGGTGGAAATTTAGAATATAGAATTGTTTTTATTGGGTGGAGGAGTTTTGTAGGGTCATTAGTGGAAGATGCCATCATTATTTGTCTTTCTCAATTTTCAATATATAATATCTTTGTGCGAGCTCAGCAGCTGCTGCAATCCCAACACAACTCATCTCATCTCATAATTGCCAGCTTTTCTACTCTGTTGTTCCCCCCACCTTGCATGTCTTGCTTTCATGTGGCCTGTGGGCTTCAAGCTGTATAGGGTTAATGTCAAATGAATAGTGGCTGGGATTCTCGAACATAGTTTACCACCAATTTTGACGCCTACTGCCACTTCCAACTAATACTATTTTTCTGATGGTCGAAAGAGAGTCCTACATTGCTAATTTAGAAAATGATTATGGATTATGGTTGGTATGAGACATTTTGGGGGAAGTCCAAAGCAAAGCCATGAGAGCTTGGACAATATTATGTTATTGTGAAGATCCGTGATTCCTAACATAATATCATAGTCATACCCTTAATTTAACAATGTCTAAAATTCTCAAATGTAAATAGAAGTAGTGAGCCTCAAAGATGTAGTCAAAGGTGACTCAAGTATCAAATAAATTGTGTACTTTGTTTGAAGACTCCAGAGAAGTAGTTGAGCCTCGATTAAGAGGAGATTGTTTGAGGACTCCATAGGCCTCAGTGAAGGCTCTATAGTGTACTTTGTTCGAGGAGAGGATTGTTATGGATAGGCCTAATACATAATAATTAAGCAAATATTGCATTCTATACTGTTAACACTAACAGACCAAAGGGGTGGTAATCCAAAATTCTACAAAATATTCTAACAGTTAGTTCCTCTGAAAATCAAACTCTTTGTAGCAAAAGTTATCATGAACAGTAATTTAAATTACTCACAGTTTCATCCCCTCTTCTTACTCGAAGTCCGCCGTTCAGCCTCTTTTTCTGCAGTGAGGACACAGAACTCCGAACCAAGCATTTCATGCACATTGATGTTCAGAGAAAGACTTAGACTAACTGTCTCCATTATGACTTCTACTGTCATTATGAAACCTAAGTTGGACAATACTCGAATAGCATTTGCAGTTCTGCATATATTCTGACGTGTCTCTAGTGGAGTATATACTCTTTCTTGCACTTGGTTACCAAAAGTTCCTTCAAATTTTGAACCCTTTTGTTCAGATTTATTAACTTGATCTTCTATCATCATATCCTCTGTGGGATCAACACGCTCCCCAATCCGGATAAATCCATTGCATCCGAATATTAAGTCAATACCATACTGCTCCAAATGATGGAAGTGTTGTTTGCGTCTCTTGACTAGATACGGTGATACTGTGAGCAGCTGACCTCGTTCACTTTTCTATACTATCTTTTACATTTTTGCCTCCCACTCATCTGCTAGCTCCTCTTTATAATTACTAAATATTTCCACCTATGAATCTTTTCACCTTAATGAATCCCTTCCTGGCTTTCTCCCTCATTCCCGTGCAACAACTTTATAATCATCTCGAGAACTCGTTTTAATCACTAGAATTTGCCCCATGATATTCGTCTATAAATCAGTATTCACATGCTATCAAGAATATTTCTACGGAATCTCTCATAAGAAACCAGTGAGGATGCAGGAGACGTACGGAAATTTGATTCTAAATTCTTTGTTTTCACATCAAAATCCAGATGCTTGAAAAGGAGTGACTCTTTTTACCTTCCCGTACTTCTGGCTTCTCGCTTGAAGGTGTAGGCCATCATGCTGAAAACCACGCACTTCTGCCTGAGAAAAAATTTGGTGATGTTATTTTTTCTTAAATGGAAAGTATGCATGAATAATTACTGATAAGAGCGGTGTTTATTTATTATAGTGCAAGGTAAACTGAAGCGCCAAAGTACATCTCTTCAAGCCTTTGTGCAAGGCACAAGGCATGGCTTGAGTCGAGAGAGGTGACAGGTGGGAAAAAGAAGCAACAATGGATATGTTGCATCACTTGCTGATAAAGTAAACGGATAGAAAAATGGAAGATAAAACTTTAGAAATGGCACTTAAGGGAAAGAGACACAAATAGACACTTGAGTTAGACACCAACAGCAACACTAGAATGTCAAGAAAATTTAAGGACCTCGGTAAGGAGCAAAGGTACAAAAGAAAATGGCACTTGAGCTAAGACACCTGGCTAGAACCGGCAAGGTGCCGAAGATGCACCTGTCTATCTAATGTGTCGAAGCCTATGCAAAGCGCATGCGATTAACTAACAAAAGTTCATAACCACCATGCTTCGGCCTAATGGCCATGAGGGCAAAACTTAAACTTTTGGTTCTATCTCCACGGTACCCATGATAACGTCCAAAGTAGGATATAAATATATTTTTTTATGTGTGTAGGTGTCTAAGCCAGCTTGGACGCACCTCACCTGTTCTCATGAGATAATTGTTAACCCTACTACATTTTGCTAAGTAAGAGTTGTCTCCCTCCACAAAAAATGCAAAACGTTTAATTCTTCAAAAATGTCAAAATATAGGAGAAAACCCACTGTATGCATGTCACATGAGAAACTTAGTAGCAATATTCTTTCTGACGGTGATAGATGAAAGTAAGAGCTAAAAAGAACTTACACAAATAACATCATTTTCTTCGAAAATGCTCCGCATGTTGAGTTCATCATCTGCAGTTTGCCTCCTCTAGAAATAAAATAATGCATCAAAGTTCCACACAATTATCCCAACGTTCGAACAAATGCAACCACTCTTTAAGAAAAAGATCAATTGCAGCAATTTGGCAGTAAAATTATCCATAAAGTTCAGCAGAAGGCACAGTTAATTCATCGTCTGGTAGGAATTCTACAATAACTGAATACCATCAGGCAAGTTCATTGAAGAAAGCATCAAGACAGCATCTTGGCTATAGTTTATATTCAATCTCCAACGTTTTGGGGCAACCTGATTAAGATAGCATCAGACAGGAAGAAATTGTAACACATTTTCCTATTTACAGCATCATAACCATGACTCCAAATAAGTTTTTCTTGTCTGTTTCATTCACCAACGTCTCTATGTTACATTTATCTAAAACCAAAAAACTAATTAAAAACACATTCGTTTTTACCTCTGTAACACGCCCCACTATGATATCACCAACCTCCGGTTTATATCTAATATTCAGAACAGACAATTACATCAGAAAAGATATAACAACAAGAAATTAAAGAAAGGGAAACATTAAATTATCATCAAGAAAAAACCAAATTACGAAGTTTCATGGACAACCTAGCACGTAAGGCACGTACATAGATAAGCTTATTGATTCGCTCAACCACTCCACAAATAGTGGCAACTACTTCTCCATTTAAGTCAAGGGTCCCATGTCCCCTGTACACGAATTTCAATTATACCTCAATACATATAATCCCCTGGAAAGTACACAATCCAAGCAACTATTATATAAAGATGGTGATTATTTATATACTTGAGGACACCATCGTCGTAATTCAGAGGAATAGTATCAGCAACTATAACAGAAGCATCGGAATTGGCCTTCGAAGAGATAGACTCGAGCAGTTCTAGGGCTCTTTGAAGCCGAATCCTCTGGGTTTGATTCAAGGAAATCTGTAATTCTCTCATATCTGCATTAAGAAAATTTCTAGGTTATATAACAAAATACTTGCAAAGACATACGGTATTATAAACTTTTAATTTAGAGCTTCAATTCAAGGTTTTGGTTTTTTAAAAATAATGTTTGGTTCACTTCCAACCCCACGTGCGATCATGCATGTAAAAAAAAGTGACAAGAAAAAGTGGGGGACGAGCAAACCAGGTGCGACGGCGGTAGGAACCACGGGCGAACCAGGTGCCGTCTATGCAACGACGGCAGTGGAACCGGGACAAGGCGACCAGTAACCGGCAAAGTTCAAAATGCGGAGGGCCAACAGCATCAATGGTTGCAACGAAGAGAAGGATAAGGAAAGAAGTGGACGAGGTGGAGCGACGACGACGGACGTGACGGCGGCTTCTTAGCAAA